ATTTCACACCCTGTATGACTCTGTATAGCTCCCTAACTGACTGTGTTACGAATTTATCTTGGTGAAGACCTTTTTCGATATAAAAAAAATATTTGTACATATTATGAAAATATTAAGTTTTAATCCAATAACAATCAACATAAAATATCGTTACGGTAACAAGAAATTTAACTATACTACCTACGTAAACCGTTTCTTTGCCGCCATTTATTTACAATAACAACGCTTCGAACGGAATCGCGTGCCCGATTTTCATATTACGCCTCGACGGAGACGTAATACGGAAAATTTCAGGGCGTCACGTGATAAGCTTTTATCCAATCAGTAATCGACAAATTTGTCTGAAGCGGGATAAATGTAAATATCCTGATTGGGTGCAAAATGAATTTTTAAAAGTCCGAGGGAAATGTAGAAATTGATCGCTCCTTAAATATTTATTTTTTTATTTATTTCACTCTTTAAAAACTATATTACTGTACTTTCAGTTTCATGCAGCTTGTTAATAATAATTGTATATACATTTGCCGCGTTCCAGTCTTTTTTATCTGTAAAGAATCCGTAGCAATTCATTGCATATTCTTTCCATCCTTCGGGGCAATCTGTGAAATCATCAGAAAAAAAGATTTACAAAATCTCTATACATTTTATTGTATTTCGGGATTCAAATCCATACGACAGTAAAATGACATTGATAATGAAATACAATTTTCATGGAATAATTATTAAATTTGAATTTCATTTTTTAAAAATGTATAATTTCCTTTTTTCAGTCTCAAGATTTTTTAAACTTAAATTTGTCTCCAGTTTATGTTTGCAACGCTTGTAATCTTTACAAATTATATCATTTATATTGCAGAGTAAAGAAAAATTATATAATGAAACATACACGTGATATTTGCAAGGAATCGTCAATATTTCTGTAGACTCATGAGATAGTTAATAGACTAATTGAGCTTGAATACTGTTTGTTTTCTCCATATATTTAATTATAATCAACTTAATCTGTGTAAAGGTGGAAAGAGATTACATTCTCCAGGTAACCTCAAATCATACTCCTTGTATGTTTTGTTTGTTTTTAAAACAATTAAGCATTACAATAACTTCTCTTGAAGTTCATCATGCTAATACATGTATAAGATATTCAGTTTATGATAAGACCCAGGAAATACCTTTCTTTGAAATATTAACCTAAAAATATAGTGTTATATAATGACTACTTACCAACAAACATTTCGAAGTAAGACCAACATCTCTCCTCTGAGATTTCGGAGGATCCGACCGTTTGCAAATCATTCAACAAGAGACATTGTTTTGATTTAATATTGAACAGAAACGCAATGCAGTTTAGAGTTTGACTGCATACAGCTGCACACATTATTTCATTTACTACTAAAGTAGAAAATAAAGTCTCTTTTATGGTTTGAGCCTCGTCTATGGTATAATCAAATTGCTTTCTGTATGTAAGTTCTGATTTCAAGGATAAACCACATATTATACATGTATTGAAAATTCCAACAATAGTAAACAAAGAAAAAAGAGGTAAGTTACTGTAGTTTGTCATTCCGGGCTTGCAATGCTACACTGTGTTGAAGTCCTTTACTAGCGCAAGTATATTCCCAATTTCTAACAATGATTTCTTTCTTAGATTAAATTACTTGCTTTGAAGTTAACAAATCTGATTTCTAATTAACTTAATATATAGAATGGAATAATTTCGAAAAACCTTTTAAAGATATTGTCAAGTCATCAAATATTTATCATGTAAAATTAAAAACATGTTTTCCGATAGTTTATGACGATGAAGCGTCTTTGATTTTAACTTTGATCAAGCGATTTTCTGTTTCAGCTATACGCTTGATTTATTTTTTTCATAGCCATCAATTATTTAAAATTTGACTACAATGTTTTCTCTGTGTTCTTAACGTTTTGGAAAACAATTATCTTGATCTTTAAGAAAAGTAGAAGTGAAATCATAAAGAAGAAACAATTTAAGTTGTTTATATTCTTTTTAATGTTTTTTTCTTCTGCTTTTGACCTCAAAATCATTAGACTTTTAAGAGAAATATTGCAAAATCTGACAGACAACTTGTTCTCTGAAAAATGTATTTGCAAAATATAAAAATCTGACCTTGTTCTTCGTACTCCTTGAACATTTGACTTGAAGAAAATCAACAGTATTTATATGACACATTGACTATAGGTTTAAGGTTTAATAGCAAAATTCAAAAAGAGAACTGGGTTTATCACCAAGAAACAATTTCATGCGGGATATGACTTTTCATGATTCATCTAATCTATATATAAGTCTACTCAAGTCATTAGAAGTTATTTAAATAATTGAAAAAAAAACTTATCGTCTTAAATCAATTTTGGTATTGTATGACTTTTCTAACCTTGACCTTTGACCTTTTATCTGAATCTTTAAAAGGATATTTATTTCCACAATAGGAGTTACATGTATGACTTATATTCACATGTGAATGCTCGTAGTGAACTCATGCAAGTAATCATTTAAAACCATTTTTACAGTATATAAATTTCTTACTTTTTATTTTGAATTCTGGCCTTTTCAAGCAAAATCTGATGTTCTACAATGCTTTGATTATTTCTACATTTACATCCAAGGAAAGTATATTATTGGTATAATAATAACTTTGATAAACTGTCCAAAAGATCAATGCGCTTTATTACAATCACTGAATAATAATCAAGGTATATCGTGTGTTTTAAAAATCTCAGTTGCCAATAATATTTTGTACAGTAGAAGAAGAACAAAATTTTAGTGAAAATAAATATCTTTATCAGGACCTATCAATTACGTAGATGGAGGAAGATTTCAATTTTTTTAAGCGCCCGGATCGAAAGATTCGAGGCGTATATTGTTTTTGTCCTGTCTGTCTGTCTGTTTGTCTGCAGACTTTAACCTTCGCCATAACTTTTGAACCACGAATGAAAGAGACTTCATATTTGATATGCATACTCCACTTATTAAGCTCTTTCAAATGACTTCAAGGTAAATATTTTGACCTTGACTGTGACCTATATATATGCTAAAAATAGTTTGTTTGTTTTTTTGCAAACTTTAACCTTAACATAACTTTTGAACCATAAAAGATACAGACTTTATATTTGGTATGCGTACACCACTGATGAAACTCTTTTAAATGACACCATGGTCAATGACCTTGTGACCTTGACTGTGAAATATATATTTAAAATAGCTTTTTTCCTGCAGACTTTTACCTTCGCTGTAGCTTTAAAACATACAGTCTTCATTTTTGCTATACTCTACTAATTTAGCTCTTTCCAATAATACCAAGGTTAAGTGGCATTGACTGTGACGTATATGCTAATAAAAGATTTTTTATCTTCAAACTTTAACCTTCGCCATAACTTTTGAACTAATAAAGATAGAGACTTCATATTTGGTGTGTGTACTACACTCATTAAGCCTTTTTAAATGACACCAAGGTCAATGACCTTGTAATCATGCCTGTGACCTATATGCTAAAAATAGCTTTTTTGAAACTTCATCATAACGTTTGAACCGTGAAAGATACCGTAAATCTGGAAATTTTTACGTCGATTTTATTTTGCGAATCTGGGTCAAAATGCTGTTGATTAATTTTTATGTTTCAAAATTTTGCGAATGACCACTACTTTGTTTACATTTTTTTATTGTTGAATTATTTTTAAGAAGAATATTTTTTGCGAATGCTATGAACTCGCAAAGAACTTTATTCGGTAATAACCAATATTTGCCCCCCAAATCAAACTTTGATGGATATATTTTTAATTAAGTTCTTAAACAGGGGAGTATATGCTGACTTCAAAGCACTGAATATTTTCATAAGTAATGACGCCTTATGTACGTAATGACGTCACAAACATGACGTAAATTTCAGTTTTTTTATGAATTTTACAGAAAAATGTACATATTTCATCGATATTTTGAGTAAAAGTCACCGAGCGCATGTGTATTCAGGATCAATATTTTGATATAATGTGTAGAATGATAATATCAATGAAATATGTCAATATTGTCCCTGAACAAACTTGCGCTCTATAAATTTCAAAGCTAAAATTGTTGAAATTTTGTCCATTTTGTCCTCTTTCCGAAAAAAGATATAAAATCGGACTAGTTTGTGACGTCATAAAAACAAATATTGTGAATACACTGCTTTGACACTATAATATTTTCCGTTAATTTATATTTTTCATATAATTTATTGAATTCAGCACATTTCAGGAAGTTTTCAAAGTTTGACTTTTGTGGGGGCATATATATGCAATATACCGCATATAGTTCTTTGCTAAAAAATTTTCTACAGCGAAAATTTTCAGATTTACTGTATAGACTTCATATTTGGTATGCCTACTCCACTAATCAAGATCTTTCAAGTGATACCAAGATCAATGCCCTTGTGACCTTGACTGTGACCTATATGCTTAAAATAGCTTTTTTCGAACTTGCCGCCGGGCGCATAGAGTTTCACAAACACATCTTGTTTCTTTCAGAGGATCATACATTTTGAGGAATATTGTAATGAATTTAAAAAAATTGTTATTATGCAATTGTTAATATACAATTGAACTTAGGTATATGGAATACCGATACCTCGAATTTTTCCTTATGTTTTTTTTATTTCGCTTACTCGAATCTTCGGATACTTTAATATTTTCTTTTCGTTTTCTGACTGCAAGTAGCGATAACGAGGGTTGATCGATATAAAAATCAAAGACAAAGAAAAAAGGATTTAATAAATAAATATTTTAAAGTCAGCGATACTTGCAACTGTAATGTATTTTATTTTTCTTTTAATGGTAGACATTTGACATTTCACTAGATTAATTCCTCACATACTTTTATTTTAACTGAAATATTGTCAATAAAAAGAGTTTGTAATGATGGATTTTATGCAACATATGAAAAATGGGCGTATCCTATATTCCATCATAATTCCCTGTAAACCTTCGTGAGATTAATACATGTATTACAATTATAACGCCTTTCTCCTTAACATCATTTTGACAGTTTTTATGGCGGTGCCGTCAGTAAACGTGGGATACCAGGGCCACGCCCAATCCGTGGTCCCGTACTGTCCCGTCAGCTGGGCCTTATAACAGATTTTATACCACCACCCCCCTCCCCCAAACCTCACGGCACAGTTCTCCGGAAATTCGTCCTGATCCTTGTCTATGGTGGTAAATCTGGATCCATTCTGATGAAACTTGGACTCGCTTGGCATCATGGCGTTACCTTTCATATAAAACAAAATACAGTAAAACTCGGTTATAACGAAGTCACTGGGACTTCGCTATATCCGTGAATTCGCAATATCCGTGTTCGTTCTAAACACGTTTTACTGTAGTTATTTCAAGATACCTTATAACATCAAAGTTTTGACATTACTTTTATATAAGTCCTCATATATTCAAAATTGTTTATTTCTACAGTGACAGCTGATTAATTACATTGGACGTAATACTTATGGGATAAAACTTACCAAGAGTCCCCATAGAATTACCAAGAAGAATTCTGAATCCGTCCTCCTCATTGGACACATAGACTTGATTGTACATCTCAAAATAGTTACCACCGTAAATGTCAGTAATCACTATGTATAATTCAGAGGTTTGGTATGTTATCAATGAATGGATGTGCTGGTTACCTGTAAGTATGCTTAAGTTATGTTATGAAAACTGCAAAACACTTAAGTCAACTGTGTACGTTTGGTATTTTTGAAAGCTCATACCGCGTCGGATTCGAGGACGGGAGGGAGAGGGGTTAGGGGGTACTCCCCTCGTATTCGTATTTGTTTGGCAAATGTAGACATATGAGCATTGAAAATTAAGGCTTAGTCCCCAAAACAATTTTTTGTTAACCCCCCATCCCCCCCCCATATATTCGGTTAGACTTTTAATTTGGCTCCGATGCTTACAAGCATGTTCTGAATTGATTTAATCTTTTAAACGTTACTCTACCTTATAGAAAATAAAAAAGTGTATCAAAGAGGATACAAATAATAATAACTTACCAATCCAATATTCGTTTGATATATTCCCGAATCCGATCTTATAGGCTTCATAATAAGTATATTCCCTCGGCAACATTTCTTAACTTTTGAAATGTTTTTCCTTCTTTCTTCAGTAATATTATCATGGACTGTATTTATCCACAACACGTGCATTTCTTAGATTTTATTATTCTGCCTACTCTAAGCAGGGTTTCTCCCCACAAAGCTTAATGTCGCATTCCAATAAGTTAATTAACTTACGGTAGTGCTCATGTAAAATGACGTAGGTTTTTGTTTTGTTTTTGAAAGTTGTTTTAGTAATAGCTTTATTCGTTAATTATGTATATTTTATTTATATCCTTATAAGGGGTACAATGTATATATTCAAATATCAAAAAAAATTTTGAACGTTATGGTTAATTTCGTTAATTGTTTTTTTTAATATATAAATGTCCTCTTATTTATAACTATAAGTTTTATATTATATTTTGCAAAAATACAGCAGAGTATATTGACATGATTGACGTCGTGCACGGTATTGGGGTCGTTTTTGTAACGTCAAAATAACGTTATTTTAAAACAATAAATATTGACGTTGAAGATTCGAGTATCTTATGACTCTAAAATATACAAAATACTTATACATGACATCAGTTTATTGTGTTTAAATTTTTCAGCTATGTATATTATAACTTTTATACATGTATTGTCAGTATCATTATAAAATACAGAAGCACACGCAAAGTAATTTTCCTTCACATTATTTCTTCTAAACTTCTTAAAATTCGCTCGTTCAGCGATTCCTCAATATTTATAACGCCATCATTATCAATTTCAAGTTAAAACATATGTATATGACTGATTGTGCAGGCACCATAGCTGGTATCCTTTTTATTAGTTTCTGTTCTAAAGGAATTTCATTCTGAACACCAAAATAGTATCCATGTACTACTCTGCTTCCTTCCGGAAACGACATTCCCCACTTGTCGGTTACACATTTTCGCAAGACAACTGGTTATTTCGATGCTTTTAAGATGTAATATGGATAATTTATATCATCTACTTTCAGAGCAAAACCTGTATCTGTAGAAATCAATTCGACAATATCTAAATCATCAGTCTCATCAGTTTCGCTTTCATCATTTTTATGGTCTGTTTGTTTTCTTATTGTTATTGTCGAAAACTGCCTTAGTTGATCATTGTTCAAACACTCATTGTAATCACCAATAACGCAGTTGTCGCAAGAATAACAAGATAATTTTAGAGTTTGAAGTTTACCGTTTCTTGATGAACAAATTTGATGAATTTTTCTATTGTCTTTAACTGGTTGGATATACCTATCTCGGTCCCTGTGTACGGAGTTGATGTACCTAAATATCCGACGTGAACATTAGATGTATCGGTTGTGCGAGATAAATTACTTTCGAAAAACTCAAAGAAATCACCGCACTTTGAATAACTTGGGATCCACGAATAACGGATAAATCTGCTTGTTTTTTCACGTAACCCCCCGCAGCGTCTTGAGGCCCTCGTGCATGAGAGGTTTCAAAAAATTTCTGATAGCTTTTGAATATCCAAAGTCAGAGCATGAATAGGATATGTCTACCATGCAATGACGACTTTTATATTGGGCACTGCACCCGTCAGTGAATTCATGCATCAAGGGCACATCACATGATATAGATCGCAAATAGTCCGAAAGTAACTTTTGTACATTATTTGTAAAGTAAGGTCATGCTTTTGGTCTGGACTTATAACAATGAAATGTTCAGTGACAATATTTGGATCGTTTTTCTGAACTGTCTTTCCCGTCATATTCCAGAACAAAATGTCGTTGAACAATCGTTACATGTATAGAAACTTCTTGTTTTTGAAAATAGGGCGACTGAATGTCGCACTTTTCTGTGCATCTATAATTTTCTGAAAAGTCGTGAATAGCGACACAGTGACCAAAATGTTATTTATCAAGGATTTCATTTGCTTTGACTGCCAATATGCACGGTACTGATGCGCAGGAAATGTTTCCATTATTTGTTTGAAGTATTGAAACATCTCGTCCGGTGATGTTAACTTTTCTTACGAGAACTAGTTTTTTTTTTATAATCTTTCCTTTTACTTTCACATCTTTGTACTCATACCTTTCCCACGATACATGAGTATCACTATGATCTAACTCCTCTGGTAGAAAAAATAATTTTTCAACGCAACATCCTTCGCATTCGCGATTTAAACACGACATTTTATGCTGTTTTGGGACATAAAGTATCATCTACTAACTCGGACAATGATGTAGCTTGTCCTGCCAACACTTTTTTGCGAAACTGCATACAGTTTTTGAATAAAGAGCGCATTTCAACATGTTGACGACAACAGCAAGTTAATTTATCTTTGAAGCGCGCCGTGCGTAGGAAGTAGGATTTGCATTTTTCAAATGCCTTTTGTCCTATCTTAATTTCGGGATATATTTGTTGGAAGTCTTAAAAAACTTCAGTCTGAGTCTTCTCTATTATACGGCACGGGTGTGACGAATATAGTCTCGGACCATGTCGAACTCTCTTAATGTCGTTTTTATTATTCGTCAGCCTGCTATTACTTTCCTGTAGCCTGAAGTTAAAGACAATTTTTTGGTTTCATAGGTTAAGGAATCAGGCTTTGTTTTTCGAGCGGTATATAGAAACGACGAATGTTCAGAGTGTAACACTTGTGTTTTTGTCCTTTGACCTTTAAGTATTGTTTTGGTTTTGACGCCTAGCCTGTCTGCCAGATTTTTAACAGCTCCTTTTTTATTTGACAAATTCTGTCCATTTACAGCAGATGTCAGTATTTTTAAATTTGCGATTGCATCTTTATTTCGTTTTTCTGTTTTACGGTAGAGATGATTTCTATAACATTTTCTAAGGCAGATTTCTCTAGACAGTCACTGAATGAAGAGTGGAATTTTTCAACAGTAGGTGACTTTGTCGCTCTTTTTATACCCCCGCTTGAAAAGCGGGAGGGTATATAGTGATCGGGATTTCCGTCCGTCCGTACGTCCGTCCGTCCGTCCGTCTGTTACGCTTTATCTCTTATCCGCAACTCCTCTTATACTACTGAGTGAAATTTAATGAAACTTTCACAGAATCTTTATTACATATTGCCATTGTGCACCTCCTATTTTACTTTTTTATTCGACACGTATTTTAGGTTTCCCATTGCAAAACATGAACATTGCCATTATATATTTACCTATGACGTCACATTGGAAGCTTCTGGATAACATTTGATAGAACGAGTTATTCCTCTTTACACATTACCGTATAGACATTATGGGAGGCGGGGGGTATCATTTAGTGAGCTCATTGCTCATAGTACCTCTAGTTTTTATCTATATCAGCGGAAAGTACAGCCGCGCGTTTGCTTGAATTTTTTAGGAAGAGCTTCGTGAAGTCTTTTTATAGATAAGGTATACATATTTTCAAACAGAAAACCACAATTAATGTCTAATAATTTAATTATGATCTCTTTTAGTAGGGCTCATATTAAAAATTTTCAAAATAAATATATGTCATTAAAGTATGATATTTATACATGTACATATCTGAGGTCGCGGATACTTGCGGGAAGGGGGCTAGCGGGGACCGAAGCCCCTCCCCTCCCCCTGGGTATTGATAATTCTGTTTGCACAAGTATATACATGTATCTTTATTCAAAATCTTTGCAAAATACTTTTTTTTTAAATCGTTTAATTTTTTATTAAATGAACCCTAATTCACTTCTGTGTAACAATATCAATTGATTAAATTTAGAGATTTAGTTTTTAATTTATACCTAGCCTTTTCCATCCTGTTAGGGAAAAAAATTGCTCTTCGTTATTAGGAGCATCTAGACGTCTTGTCCGTTGTCTGTACATTTTCATATATTCTCTTCTCTTTCGTTTTATTTCTTTTTCTTGTACCCTTTCTTGCTTTTTTCTCTCATTGTATGCTCTCTGTTTAATAGCACTTGCAGTCTTACTGTAGGTTTTGGTAGATTTTGGACTTTTTCTGTATTGATGTATTTTATAACTGCTAAGTTTCTGTTCTCTTCTTTTCTGTTTTTTCTTATCTTCATTAATTTTCATTCGTTCTGCTGACGAAAGGGTTGAATTAGTTTCTTTGAAAAGGCAAATGCACAAAAAATTATTTTGACGTTATATTATACTTTGTTTAAAAAACGTTAAAAATGAATGTGTAACAAAACAGACTAGACATGGTAATTTTGCATGGTCTCATTTTTCGCATGAATTCTATTTATCTTGAATTCTTAATCATGTATTTTTCTTAACTTGCACATTTTGAAAATGAGATTGTAGCTATTAAAAGTTATCTATTAAGAAAATTATAATGCCTTTTCTCCGGGGTATATTTTCGTAAACTATCAAAATAACGTAATTTGTACCAAAGTAACAAAACTGACTAGACATCAAAATCATTTGACCAATATCATAAAATAAGGACAGATGTCTTTTAGAAGAATCATTTGTTCTCTTGAATATTTGCACATTCCAAATTTCACTTACATTTTATTTTTTTTTCAAATGAAAGATAGTCAAAATGCCTTACCAAATATTCCATTTTGTCTGGTTTTGTCTTTAAATCACAACATGTTACAAAATTTGACCGCTTCTACGGACGCCCATAAACTGCCATTTTCTGATTTTATTGAAATGAATTTTAAATAACATCATCATATTACGTCATAGAAGCGATGTGCAAAATTTCGGAAAAATACGTGCAGACAAAATACGAAAAATGACTAAAAACTATAAGCGCTCTTCTTCAAGTGTTACAAATTACGCAATTAAGACACCCAATACCGTGTGTGACGTAATTACGATGGAGACAATAAATCATATTGAGAAAAGTCGATTTAAGACAATGTTTTATTAATTCAGTTATATTGCTTTTGCACTAACCACATTAATGTCTTACAGATACTTTTTCTAGTCATTTTTGGGGGATCAGACATTATCATATTTTACGTAACTGATAAGCAAAGCTTGTGAATCTGATCCCCCTTCTTGTTTGTTAAATTGTTCACATTTATATCGTCATTTTAATAAATGACATTATTCATCAACATGAAAGTGTTTTATTTGACTTTTACAAAATTAGCAAAAACAAGCTGCGGTGATCTTGCCTATAAGCATTAGAAGACATAAATAAAATTGTAGATTTCTGACTCGTATGTTAAATGATCAATTGCATGATGTTCACGTCCCAATCGATACTCCTTACTCATACAGAAATGTCACCATGTTTACATTGGTTTCAGGATTGACCACGACAATTTAAATAATTAAAAATGTAATGGAACGTTGTTGTGGTTTTAATTGATAAATGTTTAAATTGCTTATGGTTGAATCTTTCTTTGATTATGCAGGAATTCGCGATTGCCATTACAGTATAAGAAAAAGAAACTTGAATCTGTCCACCTTTGCGGGTTCTTTATTCTCTATCGCATCAGTGAAGATTTAAAAAGTGCATTTTATTAAACCCTGGCAAGGAAATTGGAGGGGGATAAACAGTGATATAGTAACGCAATCGTGAGTGAGTGTGTTTATTTCAACACCGTCCTTTGCAAAATGAAAGTGACGTAATTATATTTTCATCGAGATTGACGTTGAATGCTACCTTGATTTATAGGCATGCACTTTTCGAGAGGATGCTCCTTCTTCTATAATTATTCAAGTTATTAACAAAATAATAATTTGCCAGATTCCATCAAGACTGCAACATTTTCAAATACCGCATAGGTAGAATTTTTAATGAATTTAATTTTAGTATTATTAGCAGGGGTGCTAAGATCGCTAAAATTGCTTGGAAGTTGATATACCTCCTAAAGTGAGCATTTCAAGTTCGCTAAAATTAAAATACCAATTTTTAAAGTCAAATCGCTAAATTTGCGTCTCGATAAAATTTCAGTTATACGGTAGCTTAATACTTGATTGAATATATTTTATATTGATAAAATCAAAAGGATGGGAAACAAGTTCTGTACAACATACTAAGTTCAATCCAATGACCGAGTGTCACTTTATAAAGAATTGACACAAAAGTTAAAAATAAAACTACTAAATCGTCAATTCGTCATCGTATCAAATAAAAATGGTCTTTTAACAATCAACATTTCATTTTCTTGTTACTTTTGTAAAATTACATTTCATAATTGTTCATTTTTCACAGATAAACTTTAACTCGTACGAACAAGGAGCATCGACCCAGCTGTTGAGCCTCAATTGCAGCAATAAACAGTTTTCACTCTGCTTTCCGTTCGGTTCACGAGGACTTAAATTCCAGTCTGCGTAAATCATTCTACTGTTAGAATGGTGCCAATACCACTTGTCCTCTGACCCTTCATCTGACCCATCAGTCCACCAATCGTCACCTGAGGAGTTAAACAGTTACGCATTCCAATGTTTTCAGAATGAATACATGCATATGTCTTAACTATAGACTTAATATTCATTATTAAAATTTTTTAGTCCATTATTTTACATTGACAACGGATTTTTCCGTTATTTCCCGAACATGACAAGGAACACACGGCGGTGGTGACCGGTCGGCAGGGGATGCTCACTCCTCCATGGCACCTGATTCCATCTCTGAACTTTTGGAGGTAAGTATTTGTTCTACTCCTATGTTGTATTGTTTTTTGGACTTTTGAGCTTGAATATACTGTTCGTTATCTCACAATACCGGGTATTTCATTTCAAAATAAAAGAAGAAATATTTAATGCAGTACATTGTAATTTATATATTTTTGAGATATTTACTGTTTCATGGTCATTCCATCAATACCATATGTACGTATACACATCAACAAAACATTTATTCAAGTTTTCGATCACTTTAATAAAGAAATAACTGAAGAAGTTATCAGTGTTATGATTTTTTTTTTTGCATTGTCATTTAATAATTAAAGGGATTGCCTTCTGATAAATAAAGTCAACAGGGGCCCGTTTTACAAAAGGACTTACGACTTGAGACCAAATTTAATTCTTACATTATATCTAAAATCATTTAAACTTTTTAAAAGGAAAGTGGTAAGAGATTTTTACTCATCCAATTTCAAAGAGAATTATTGATTTTGCAAAATTTTACAACAATCGGGAATTTTTGGTCTTAGTCGTTTGTTTCAGCAAATAATTACATATTACAAAATAATCACCTTCATCCTTGTAGTTGATTCGATCAAAAATCCAATTGTTTTCTTCTTCGCTTTCTATTGCCACGAGATGAGCATCCATGGAATCACAAAAGCTCTGAATGGTAAGTAATAATTTTTTTATTATTTTAAATAGATACATGTATACAAAATGCACCCATTAATTTTCAAATTTTGTAAAAAAAAAAAAAGAAATTCAAATTAATAAATGAATAAATAATAATGACAATGATAATAAATAAATACTTTTTCAATGCCTTTCTTTCCGTTCCTTTTTTTTCAAAGTGATTATTGTTTTAAATCGTGCTTAAAATATTTAAACCAATAATTAAAATAGACTCCTCTGGCAATTCAAAACATGAGGAATCTGTGAAGGTACATGACGATTGTACAAATATTAGAGCAATCATATATTAGAAGAAATGAAGAAGGGCTTCAAGCAATCTGATTAAAATCAGATCCTTTGATCCTTTGAGTGTAAAAGAATTTTAAAACTCCGGGAAAACATTGTAGAAATTGATTACTCCTATGATATACATGTACTAGTATATTTCTTTATTTTACTCTTAAAAAACTATAGTACTGTACTTTCAGTTTTATGCAGTTTGTTTAAAACATGTTTACCTTTGCCGAGTTCCAGTCTTTCTTATCTGTAAAGAATCTGTAACAATTCATTGCATATTCTTCCCATCCTTCGGGGCAATCTGTGAAATCATAAAAAAAAAGGGTTTACAAATGACAATACTTCTCTATACTTCCCTTTCAGGTTTCAAATCCACAAGTGAATAAAATTATTTTGATAATAAAATACAATTTTCAGGGATTTTTCAATTAAATTTGAATTTAAAAAAATATATAATTACCTTTTTAGGTTTCATTTAAAGAAAAAAATTCACAAGTGAATAAAATTATTTTGATAATAAAATACAATTTTCAGGGATTTTTCAATTAAATTTGAATTTTAAAAAATATATAATTACCTTTTTCGGTTTCATTTAAAGAAAAAATCAAGATATTTTTACTTAATAAATGTGTCTCCATTTTATGTTTGGAGTCTTAATATATAAATCATATATATTGCAGAGTAAAGAAAAATGATAAAATGAAACACACGCGTGATATTTGCAAGGAATCGGCAATATTTCCGTAGAATCATGCGATAAAATTCAGTTTTTAGACTGTGCTTCTGAAACTTAAAGGAATCGTAAAAAAAAATAAAGTTTAAAAAGTCTAAGGGATAAAATAAGTTTGAGGCAGGTTTGAGAATTATATATTGACACGATACGTTGATTTCTCGTAATTTTTTACTCTGTATATAAAAACTATGGCACACCAAATTCACAAAAATAAGCAAAACATAGTTTCACAGTCGATAAACTAAGTTTATCGGTTGTAAACTATAGTTAATGGACTGTAAACTATAGTTAACAACACTCTTAAAAATGTTTTACTTAGTAGTCATTTTTTACTTGAAATAACAAAGATGAGTAATAGATAATTACTAAGCATTTACTTAAAATTCTAAATCAATTACTGAAATATATGTCAATTACTAAATTCAAATGTTTTACTTGATTTCTGTATTTTAAAGAATTGTTTTATTTACACACTAAAAAATTTTACTTAGTAATTTATATTTACTTAAATTTGTATATATAAGTAATAGCATTACTTGGTCTTTACTCACATTTTACCACTATTTACTATATAACTAATAATTATATGCCCCCGTCAACGAAGTTTCGGGGGTATATAGTTTTTGTCGTGTCCGTCTTTCTGTCTCTCTGTCTGTCTGTCTCTCTGTTTGTCTGTTTGTCCGCAAAAACTTTAACCTTGCCCATAACCTTTGATTTAGCGGAGCTATGACTTTCATATTTCACATGTGTATTCTTTGTGATAAGACCTTTCTTTGAGTATCAACAAATTTGACCTTTTGACCTTGACCTTAAGTTTGACCCACTTTTACACAAAAATTCCAAACTTTTTCTTTAGCCATTTGAACAGTAAATACCAGGACATTTTTACTTCACTGCATATATATTGTTTGTTGAAAGACCTTTCATTGGATACCAACAACCAAAACCTTTTGACCTTGACCCTGGAGATTTCCATTCTTGTGAAAAAACTTTAACCTTGGCCATAACTTTTGAACGGTAAGGGATAGGGCTTTCATACTTACATATATGTAATTCTTGTGAAAAGACCATTCATTGGATACTAAGAACTTTGACCCTTTGACCTTGGAGTTTGACCCACTTTTAAAATGCAAACCTTGACTATAACTTTAAAATGATTAGGTTTAGTGCATTCATACTTTACATATTTCATCCCTGTGACAAGACCTTTCTTTGGGTACCACCAAATCTGACCCTTTGTCCTTGACCTTGGAGTTTGACCTACATTCAAAATTGGTAACCTTCACCATAACTTCTGAAGGGTTGGAGCTAGTGCTTCCATATTTCACATCTGTATTTTTGTGGCAGGACCTTTCATTAGATACCAATAACCTTGACCTTGGAGATATCAAGAAATACCAGTGTATTAAATTTGCATATAAGAAAAGTTTAACCTTTGCTATGTTGCCATACGGGGGCATCAGTGTTTCACAAATACTTGTATTTAATTGATTTACTTAAAACAATAATTTCTTTACTGAATCAAGGAGAATTCAGAGCAGGTGCAGTACAAATAATTACTTAAATATGGTAGTTTTGTCGCTACCGGGATTCAATTATTGAAATGTAATATATAATTTTGGCTTCCATATTAATTGTCTGTGAGGAGGAGTTATCTTTCCTTTTTCGTTCATGTGAACAAAAATCATACTAATAAAAATGCTGTAGTATAGTGCTTGAAACATTAAACCATTTTTAAAATGATCCTGAAAAAGATACAACTTATTCAATTTATAAGGCTTTTGATGTCTAAATAAATGATTTTTCATTATCTAAAAGAACATGTTACAAAGAAATTGGCAAAAAATACATTTTTTCCTCATATGTGTGTTTTTATTGACATATAAGTTTGAGGAGAAGTGGACAGAAAACTGAGAATATATCACATTTTGCACTTACAAAACATATGTTACACTTTTAATCATCTATAACTTCATCAAACCAAAAGCTTTAACAAAGATAATTTGTCAACATATAATGTATTAGCATACATTTTATCTGACAAACTTTTGAGAAATTCTGTTAAAGAGTCAGGCAATTATTATGTCTTAATGACGTCATCATATTTTTAATATTGAACCTACATGCAAAGAGCTAGTAGAAATTGTAAAACTTTACTATCGGTCTAAAATTGCTACTTTACTAATTAGTACCATGAGATATATATGGTAATGAAAGTGCTCAATGATATACCAATTTACAGATTTGTGAAAGATTTTGAAGTTAAAGGCACCATAAATGACTGTTGACTTAATTCTGGTATTAGAAGACCAAGAAAGTCCGATCCAAAGAGAACATCAATACCATTGATTATTACTGAAACCCTTAAAAATCCCTAAGATGGGTCCTGTACGTAAGACAAGATTTCACCATTGGTAAATGTAGTGTTGGCTACAAAAAATAGCCAAATTTGATAAACTATGGTACCTTACAAGATCTTGAACTATAGTTAAGGCAGCGTAAATGAAAGTTTACAGAAATCAATGTTTTGAATTAAATCTATTGGATTTTAATAAGACTGGAAAATTTATCAGATGCATGGTTTTCCGATGAAGGCTATAGTTAACATATTAACAATGTTGTTAAAGAGACTATACTTAAATCTTTAACTATTGTTTGGTGAAACCCAGTTTTAATGTGGAAAAACTTAGTTTAACTGTTAGAATGTTACATTTAAAAGCACGCAAAATAAAAAATGAGATAATCATAGTTTCAAAGTCGATGTTTAACTAGGTTTATCGGTTGGAAAATAGTTCTAAACTGTAAACTATGTTATTCAACTAAAAATCTATATTTCACATAAAGTAAATTTTGACAAATGTATGTTTCACATAAAACTTATAAAAATTTCATTATAGATCGCAAAACAGAGATTATTTGATAAATACAAAATTTGTAAACTATGGTTTACAACTCTTAACATATGTTTTGGGATATGTATATTTGGTTTACAGACGGAAAATGTTTATCAACAAAATCTATTGTTAACGTTTTATTACAGACAGATAAATTTAGATTAGCATTCGTAAATCAATGATGTATTAGAATTAAATATAGTTTTGATTGAAAACTATAGTAAAATGGATCATTTAAATTGTTAGTTTTAAAGAAACATAATATGTATAATGTCAAATATGGCACGCCAGGAATAAACTAGGTTTATCGACCAAAACATAGTTTCACATCTGTAAACCATAGTTAACGCGATAATCTATGTTTACGGACAAAAGTATACTTAACACCAAAAACAATCATTTGCAATTGCAAAAGATAGCTTATCTGATAAATCCATTTTCACGATTTGTAAACTATGGTTTATAACTCTTAACTATAGTTAACTGTACACTGATAAATATAGTTTCACGATTGTAAACTATGGTTTACAACTCTTAACCATAGTTAACGATCGTAAATTAAAGTTTACAGACGTGAATCTATGTTTATCAACAAAATCTATTGTTAACGTTTTATTACAGACTAATAACTTAGATTAGCATTCGTAAACTATAGTTAACAACCGTTAAATATAGTTTTGCATATGGCACGCCAAATTCACAAAAATGAGATAAACCTAGTTTCACAATTGATAAACTAGGTTTATCGACTGTAAACTATAGTTTACAAACCGTAAACTTAGTTTACGATTTGTTGAAGTATAGTTTTCATCTGTAAAAACGTGATTAACGGTTGTTAACTATAGTTTACTCAATGCTAATCTTAAGTTTATCTGTCTGTAATAAGCGTTAACAATACATTTTGTTGATAAACATAGATTCACGTTTTCTAAACTATAGTTTACAGTCGTAAACGATAGTTAAGAGTTGTTAATCATAGTTTCACGAATAAAAAAACTATAGTTATCTAATTGTAAACTATAGTTACGGTTTGTAAACTATAGTTTACAGTCGATAAACCTAGTTTATCAATTGTGAACTAATAATTTAGCTCATTTTTGTGAATTTAGCATGCCATAAAAATATTTAAATGATCATCCAGCTCTATTGATATGTTCAATGACGCTTGAGAGGTCTTTGCTTTTCAATGTCTGCTTCATATGTTGGCATACTTCTCATGATGAGACTCCACTGTTCAATCTTTTCGATTTATGCTTCACATATTCAAATCATAGAAGTACTAGATACTATTTAAGTTGCGAGCAACGACTCTTGTTCGTTTTAGGAAATAAAACCCTAGATTCGAGCTGAAAAGAGGTTCAAAATTTTGGTAACCAGCAAGGAGGATTGAACCCATGTCGCCGTAATGCTAATGCGTTTTTTTTTACTTTTATATCCCCAACGCGCTAACCACTAAGCTATTGGGAAGCACCGCTCTAAATATACTTGTGTATACCCCGGGTACTTTTCGCAATATTTACTGTCTAAAAATTATAAAAAGCATTCATAATTTCGCGCCAAACACCACGAGTAAATATTAGCGCCTTTTCTTTGGACTGATCTATTAAATGGGTATGATAGCTTCAATTAAATTTTAAAAATAAAACATTCTTACAGTGCCTTTATTTTGACGTT